GGGACCTTCGATATCAAAGCAGGAATGCCGCTGCCTGACCCTTCACTTTGTATGCTGGGTCTTAAAGGGAAGCCGTGTGAAGAGAGATGAACTTGTGGTGAAAGACCGAGTATAATTCCCCAGCCCCTCCTCTCTTCCACTCATCAAAGCCTTCAATATGTAGTTAGAGAACCAATTCATCTGATAAGATACACTGTATGATCAAATACAACCCTTAGAAGTGTCATATCCAGGGGCGTGTCTACGTGGTGGCCAGGGGTGGCACTGGCCCCCCCTGAAATTTGGCTGGCCACGCCAGGTGCACCCCCTACCAGATGTCTTGCCATAGGCTTGTTTTTAGTAAATTTCTAATTTTAGGCGGTTTCTATAGTGTGATCTTAATTACAATGTCGAGGGCGCATAATCCATGCGCGCGAGGACGAATCTCTCCACTCCCAAGCGGATTTCCTTCACGGCCACCCTCTTTTGAGCCAGTGCCCCCGACTGGCCCCCCCATTTAAAATGCTCTAGACACGCCCCTGGTCATATCAGCATATGAGCATAGAGAATAAAACTGCAAGATTAATTTTTTCAATAGCCTTGGAGATTTAAATAGTCTTATACAGTACTTCATTTAGTACTTCATGCCAGTTTCCCAAGAAATTCGTATTATAGAATACTGGCTTATAACATTTGAAGGGTAATACTACATTACAGTAAGTAGATTTACATGTGCAGTTATAATTGAGCTACAGCGAGTTTTTGTGTAGTCAAACTGCAGTCTTCATCTGTCCTTTAAATATTTGATTAAAATACATAAACATATACTTGAAGGGTTAAATGCATGTTGCACACTACCTGTCTTTCGGAGGATGTGCACAGTGCTGAGGCCAGTTGTAGTTAGATTAATATTTTTACATGCTTAACGAAGCCAAGCTACACTTGCATTACTAAGACTGTTAGTATGACTGTGTTTACATGATATTTTAAAAAGATTAATTATTGTATTAGTATGACTTGTCAAAGGCGTGTAAACATTATCCTCATGACACATATTATGTTTAAAAATGGTTATTCGCATTTGTAATAAAAAAATAAATAAATCAAATACCCTAATGTAAAGCGTGACCAAAAGAAGGAAGGGGATGAGAGAAGAGACCTGGGTGTGTCTGATAAATGTTTGATGAGTGCTAATGCAGCACTGCAGTAGAGCAGAGGCTGGTGAAATATAGCATCACAGCATGAGTGTTGGTGCACTGCTCTCTCTCTCTCTCTCTGACTGCCCCCTTTGCCTTGGTTACTTGTGCTGAGTCATACAAACAGAGTGAGACAGTGGTTGGAGGCACAGAAGATACAGTGCCGATGGAAAGAGCCATTCATATGAAATAATGGGTGACAAAGTAACATAATAGGATAGTAGCTTGTCATGCTAATTGATTAAAGAGCTGTGAGAAAAGAAAAGAGTGCATATTGCAGTTTTAAAATAGTATTTGAATTAGCATTAGCAGAATTAGCATCGTACATGAGTAAGCTTAAAACATATTGCAAACAAAATGCTGATGTGCTAGAATTGTACTTTTTTTCTCACCATTTTCCTTTTTGTCTTGCAGTCTGCATGTAAAAAGCAGTCACAAATCTGGAGCACAGAGCTTTCCGGAAAGCAGGAAGTGAGTGGCAGCCATGGAGGACACTAAGAGACAGTGCTCTGTACCAACTCCCAGAGCAAGAGATTTAAGGCCAATCTCCCTTCTCTCTTTCTCCTTTAATCCATCCATTCATCCCTCTTATCCTTTTTCCAAATTCCCCATAACTCAGCTGCCCCCTACTCCCAATTTCCTGTATTTTGCCAAACTGCATCAGATGCCATTTCCCCACCTGTAACTTTTTGTGATGAGCATTTTCTTTTTTTATTAGTTCTCAGCAGTCTGTCGAATGGAGAGTTTATGTATGTGTGGTTCTTGTATGAGCATATGTGTGTTCTGTAGTGTTGCAGTAGGAGGGTTGTGTTTTGTATATTGTATTTATATCGAAGATATTCTCTCAACCCTCTCAAACATGTTCTAACCTTCTAAAACAGCCATTGAAATCATGATGTCATGCTGGTGTAAAACTACAAAATACTTAGACATGTAATTTTAACAAACATGGTACAGATACATCCTCTACAGCTATAGCAAATGAAAAAGTGCATAATATGCTGTGGCTGTAATGTGAAAATTAGGTCAAATTCAGTGAACTCTGAAACACAATATCCAGCCATTATCATCTCCATTCTTACTGTAGATATACCACTTCTTCGTCCCTTACTGTGAAATGTTCTTTTTGTTATGTATATTTATCATGTACAATCACGATGAATGATTTCACCATTAATGTGTGACATTTGAGATTTTAAGAGTCTGATGTTCAATTTGATTTGCTTTTAGTGGTACCCTGTGAAATGATCACGATGATGACAGACGCCTGCATGAGTAGGGAACGTTTAGAAAAGGACATTTTATTGTCCTCAACGTACATGTGCGCTTCACTGTTTAACGGCCTTGGCGAATGCGTGTTTCAACGCCAAAAATGCACCTGAGGTTAAAAGAAAATTGTGAGATAATTGTGCGAGGAGAATTGTATTAATGCCATGTATTGGTAAACTCTCCAACACAGGTTACACGTGGTTTTAATTCACATATATGTGGGTATATTCAGTAATATAGTGTAGAATATTTTTGCATTCCTAATCTCTGTATCAAGGACTGTTATTTCTTTGAAAGACGTGGTAGATGCCTTATTGTCAGTCTCTTTGAAATGAGCCTATATTATAGCCATACATGCAGACAGGATGACAAGGAAAGCATTTCAAAATCAAATGTAAATGAGTGACAGTTGTGTATTTGGATGAAGATGGTGGCAAACTGTAAAGGAAAATTTAGTACAAGTAATTTTTTTTTATGAAAATGCATATGCCAAAATTCGAGCAGTCGCAATGTGTACTGGTTAACGTTCAGAAAGTATGCAAATGACAGACTGCACAGGGTGTATTATCTTGAATAAAAAAAAAAACAGCTTTGCTACTGCTGTCATGCTTTGAATGAACAGCCCACTCACATTCTTTTCTTAGCTTTTTATAATAGTCTACTGTGAAGCTCCTTTAACATTTGTACAAATTGTATACCTATGTACCTTTAGTCATATTGTAATATTAACAAATAACCAATGAAAGCATTAAGAAATGTTATATACCAGTAGCATGAGCCTCGCCTCTTTTTGTATTCTTCAAGCTGTTAATAGTATGGATTCAAAATCATGTCTATATTTCATTCAAATAAAGCTAGTGTAAATCAAGCTTGCCTTCTCATTGCCCTTTGTCCTGTTGGTGTGTATTGCTAAGTGTTGTGGGGATAGAGAAAATGCAAACTAAGTATATATATTTGAATTGGCATAAGATAAATGCTGGTAATATTTAAGCGGAGTTAGTTCATTAAGTTTTTGCAAATTTTGGTGTAGTGGCACCACATTAAAAACCCAATGGTGCCATCTTGTGGCTCACACAACCAGACTTAAAGCACTGCAGTTTACATTAATGATTTTCAAAAATAAGTAGCAGTGCTATTTTACGTTCAAGGGTTTGGGGTTGATACATTTTTTTAAACAGTTACTTATGGCTTCACCAAGGCTGCATTTATTTGATAAAAATAACAATAAAATAGTGAAATATTGCAATTTAATATAATATTTTTAGTATCATCTACCTGCTGAATAAAAAAAAGAAAAAAAGAAGAAAAAAAGAAACTTACCCCAAGCTTTTGAACAGTAGTGTATATTAAGGAAATAATGACATTTCAAAAACATAAGGATTTATTATCATTATTCACAATGAAAACGCAAAGGAAGCATTTTTTCCAGAGACAACTGTTCATGTTCCTGAGGAGCAAGAGATCACAGTATGCTTGCCTTGGCTTTGGGGTTTGTGCGTTTGAGGGGGCACCTTTACCCCTTCCTCCCTAAAACTGCCTCAAAGATTAACAACTTGCATATGTACAAATAATAAAGAGTTGTAACAATACTACAGGAAATAAAAGGCATGACATCGCCTGATGTATGATTACAAATAAGAAAAATTAACGTTACAGTTAAAAAACAAAACAAAAAACCTTGTAACAAAATGAAGCAAATGGTCATTCCTGGGCTCTAATTAACTATTCAGTAGTAACTTAACTCACAGTGCTCTTACAATAAATTCCTACAAGGTCTTTACAAAGAGAAAGATGGAAGAAATATTTAGCACTGAATGTAAATCACCCTGGTTGTAAATGACAGAAGTTTCCTGATGTAGCACAAGTATACTGATGAAAGTAGTCAGGGATCTTTAGTAGATATCAGTGCTTTTACAGCATAACCTCACTATCAGTTTCATGAAAACAAAGACAGCCAATGCAGAGATGACACACACATACACGATAATATTCTACAGTAAATGCATTGAACAATATACCACCTCTGAGATTATAAAATTCTTTGTAAATAAAGCACTGTACATAAAATTAGAAAAGTTATATAAAACTCAAAAAAAAAAAAAAAAAAAAAAAAAAAAAAAAAAAAAAAAAAAAAAAAAAAAAAAAAAAAAAAAAAAAAAAAAAAAAAAAAAAAAAAAAAAAAAAAAAAAAAAAAAAAAAAATTTAAGAGCATATTCAAGCAAATCATTTCATGGCAAAATTAAATCGGCAAACAGTGACAGAAATATCTCCCTTCAAGCAATGTTATACACGTGTCCGATTGGCCACAGTGTTTTCTAAATTCACACACCGTAACAACTTTTGATTAAACACACAGCACAACTGTAAACATGTTGAACCACAATGAGAGCAACACAACCAGATTGCTGATGAGCTGCTGCCGCCGACCAATTTTACAGCAAGGATGTTTATCATTTAGGTGGCATTGGCACGAAAAAAAAAGCACTGTAACAAACTGACAATTAGGCAAATATATCATGGGTCACATGAACAATATAAGTGATGTTCAACAGGTAATCTGGCACTGCATGAAGGTTATCTACAATTACACCTTGCTCTTGCTAACCCAAAGCATGTAATGAGAAAGTAGAAACCGCGTCAGAAAGAAAAACTTTGAGATCTGTGTAACTCCTCGGAGGCACTAGAAGATAAAGTTGACTTTGATCCTCAACCCTTTGATGCAAATTTCAGGCAAGTCTGATATTGCATGTCTGAAACTGGTTGAGGTAGTGAACACTCATCCTAAACCAGGACCCACGTTTAGCTGCTCAGAAAATGACATTTTATTTTCAAAATAAATTTTGGTGCGTTACCCATGAACTAACCATTTTGTGGCTTTAATATTTTAAATATTCCATTGAGTTACCAATCTAACCTAATGAGGTCTACGTCTGATCTGCACGGTGACAAACGCAGGATTTCAGCAGTTCACTACATCCTTTTCCTGTAGACCGTTAGGCAGAGGAAGAGCTTTAACCGCAACACAAACTACAAATGACTCGAGTAACCAATAAAACCCTTGAAAGCAATACAGAACGAAGCAGAAATTTGACTAAATCTACTGTAAATCTGTTATAAATATAGTAAATGAATGCATGAGTGTTTAAAAAAAAAAAAGCAGAAAGTAGAAGTACTTTTCAGTAGAAGTAAAATTCCCAGAAAAAAAGAATATAACAGAATTTCCCTTCTGTAGCTTAACCTCTGATCATAATTTACCCACAAATGCAATACAATAAAAAAAAAAAACAATACTCTGAAGTGGATGAATGTGAAGCTATTCCACAAAGACTTCCTCAGTTTTGATGGGTGTTATCAACGGCCCACCGTTGGATGAATCCGAGCCTTCGTCTTTGGCCAGGCTGTCACTGTTCAGCCCACTGACGCCCATTTCTCCAGCCGCTGTGCCCGAGAGCACACCCTGGTTGAAGCACAGGTGCTTGATCACCTCATTGGGGCTGGAAAAGGTCATTTCACACACATTGCATTTGTACGGTCTCCCAGATGAGCTGAGAAACAGCGCCTCCATTTGGCTGGAGTCGTCTGCGTCACACAGCGCCATGCTCTGTCGGTCCACCATGGTGTACGCTGGCTCTGAGCCCAGATTCATGCAAACGTGCCGCGCCGCCTGGTTGGCCCGACAGAAGCTCTTGCCGCAGGCGCTGCAGCGGTACGGCTTTCCCGTATGGATGTACATGTGCTCTCTCCAGTGGCTCTTCTGGATGAACTTGCGGCCACAAGTGGAGCACTCATATTTCCTCCGCTTCACTTCCCGCTCCATGTCAGCCGCACCCTCTAGGTTGTCGATATCAGCGATATCGGACGGCGGCGGTGTGTCCGCCTGGGGCTGAGCAGAGCACAGGCTGACTGCAGTTGTTGTTGGGACGGGCATGGCGGTTTCAGGATGTTGCTCGCTGTCACTAGCAGCGTCCACGATGATGGGAGTGGCTGCGGCAGCTTCGCTGCCTCTGAGGACTTCTTCGACCTCTGGCGTAGCGGCACCTCCGGTCGGCATGGGGGAAGCCGCACTGACGGACTCTAACACCAGGGGCAGCATAGCCTGGGTGTGCAGAAGCAGGTGCTGTCGTAAGGCTCCTCGCTGGGTGAAGCGGCCCCCGCAGACATGGCACGTATAATGCTTCCTCAAAGAGGAACTTCTTCTCATGATGCTGGGCTTCACATGCAGAATGGTGTTGGCGCTCAGGGAGCAAGATGGGGCTTCACCTGCAGATGCTTCCGTCTCGCTGCCTTCCCTCACAAACCGACTGGTGCTCACCGACGCTTCTACCTCCGTTTCTGACAGAGCTTGCCTGTACTTGGATACAGGCCGCATCAGTGAGGTAGCTTTGTTTGTGGTAACACCCTTCCCATCGAGCAAACCGCTGCCTTCCAAATCGAACGGCGAAGAGAGATGCGTGCTTGCCGAGAGGCGGTTTGTGAGCGTGGCCTGTTGGTCTGATATCTGAATGCCATAAAGAGAGGACGACAGGGGAAGGCTGACCTCAGGATGTGCCTGAGCCGCATGGCTAGCCTCCTGAATGAGAGGGTACGCATGGAGGAACTTGACGCCCTGCTCCAGGCGAGCCGGGTCGATAAGCTGCGTCGCCAGTTTTCCGGTGTACATCAGATTGAGGAGGTAGCTGAAGATGTCGGGCTGAATGTCAGCAGGCTTCAAGCGAACACAGTCACTGGTTGAAAGGATAAAGAAACAGATTCAATGTTGAAAACCAATGTTTATTCTATAAAAGTGCTTTAATACCTATTTAGCTTATTAGTTAAGAGCACATTTGATCACAAATTACCCTTCTCAAAAAAAAAAAAAAAAGTATAATATATATATATATAATCTCAATAACTCAATCTTTTGGTATCAATTACAGTGCCCTCCACTAATATTGGCACCCTTGGTAAATATGAGCAAAGGTGGCTGTGAAAATAAATCTGCATTGTTTATCCTTTTGATCTTTCATTCAAAATAATTCACAAAATTCAAACCTATCATTGAAGTAAAACAATTGAAAAGTGGGAGAATTTCACGATGAAATAAATGTTTTTCTCCAATGCATGTTGGCCACAATTATTGGCACCCCTAGAAATTGTTACGAGTAAAATATCTCTGAAGTATATTTCCATTTATACCCACACCAGGATGACTAGGAGCATGAAATTGTCCAGCCATGACTTCCTGTTCCACAGGATTATAAATATGAGGAACACAAAGGCCAAATTCCCTTAATCATCCATCACAAGGAGTAAAACCAAAGAATATAGTTCTGATGTGCAGAATAAGATTGTTGAGCTTCACAAAATAGAAAGTGGCTGTAATAAAAGAGCTGAAGCATTAATTAGCAATAATTAGGAGGTTCCAAATCAACTAAAGATGTTACAAATCTGCATGGTAGAGGATGTGTCTATATCATCCTAATGCACAGTGAGGAGGAGAGTTTGAGTGGCCAGAGACTGGGATATATCCAAGGATCACAGCTGGAGAATTGCAGTGATTAGTTGAGTCTTGGGGCCAGAAAGCCTAAAAAACATAAAATAAATAAAATCAAACAGCCCCTACATCACCACATGTTGTTTGGGAGGGTTTCAAAAAAATAAATAAATACATTTCTCCTCGCTCATCCAAAATCAAACTCCAGCATATTCAGTTCAAATGGCACTAGCTTCTATGATCAGATGAAACTTTTTGGTAGCTGTGATGGAGAGACTTTGAATTGTCACTGTTTTCACTGTTAATGTTGGTTGCTTGTTTGCATTTCTTCGTCTCCCCAAGTGGGCGTGGCAATAGGAACTGCAAACTGAGAAAAAGTGCTCTGCTGTATGTAAAAGTTTGTGCAAATGTTTTGGTACATCCATTCTCTTTTTAATTGTATTATTAATTGTATTTATTTACTTAAACTCTTGTTTCTAAATCTCATGTATATCTCAAGAGTCAAAGTCAAGAGTTTTTTTTAATAAAAAAAGCGGGGGAAAAAAATGTGTATTTAAGATGGCCACCACTAGTAGTAGGGAGAGGACAGAGAGAGCGCTCGGAACAAGATTGTAGTGCTGTGTAGCATGTGAAACTCCAGCCTCAATGACGTAGAGGGGAGTTGGTACTGTTTTTAGTACTTGCAGTTCTAGTTTTAGACTGTTTTTATTACAATCTTTGTTTTAAGCTCTTAAACCCATTTATTTGCACAGTTTGCACATCGGCTCTAAATAAACAACCCATTGGACTCCAACTTCGCTATTGATCCTCCTTGTGATTGCTCGGGTCGTTATCACAGCAGCAAACCCACCAGATGGGTTAATATAAACAGGGATTAAAAAAAAAAAGTACCCCATGCCCACGGTTAAATATACTGCTGGATTTTTAATGTTGTGGGCCTGTTTTTCTGCCAGAGGTCCTGGACATCTTGTTCAGATACATGGCGTCATTGATTCTATCAAATACCAACAGATAAAACAAAAATAAATAAATAAAAATTCTAAACCCGACTGACTCTTATCTGAAATCTTATAATGGGCCGTGGTTGGATCTTCCATCAGGACAATAATCAAAAACAAACATCGAAATCAACACAAAAATGTGTCACTAAACACAAAATGAAGCTTTTGCCATGGCCGTCCCAGTCCTCTGACCTGAACCCTATAGAAAATGAGTGGGGTGAGCTGAAGAGAAGAAGCACCAACATGGAGCTGGGAATCTGAAGGGTCTGGAGAGATTCTGGATGAAGGAATGGTCTCTGATCTCTTATCAGGTGTTCTCCAAACTCTTCAGGCATTATAGGAGAAAACTCAGAGCTGTTATCTTGGGAAAAGGACGTGCAATAATTGGATGCCAATAATTGTGGCCAACGTGAACTAGAGAAAGATTATTTCACAATGAGATTTTCTCCCCACTTTCAGTTGTTTTACTTCAACGACAGGTTAGAATTTTGTGAATTTTTGGAATGAAAGATCAAAAGGATAAACAATGCAGATTTATTTTCACAACGGTCTTTGCTCATATTTACCAAGGGTGCCAATATTAGCAGAGGGCACTGTATCAATATTGGCTATTTGTGCAGTTGATAATTGTGCATTTTCTCTGTTACAATTTACATTTAGATTAATGTTAATGTTACTTTACTCATCAAGGTTGGAATTCACTACATGACTTTTGCCCAGATTTTTGCCTCATTACGGTCTGGACTAGTTGATGCTAGTTGCCAAAAGTAAGAGCCAGTCTGCAGACTTTGGGCAGTTGGATTCAGGGCCGTCCCTTTGGCAGTGCAACTGGTGCAGACTCCCCAGAACGTGATTGTGAACAGACCAAGGTGAACCGGCTCCCTACCTCGCACCGGGCCCCATGTCAGCTAAGGACGGCCCTGGTTGGATTTGATCGTTTTAGCAAAAAAAAATAAAAATAATAATAATAATAATGTATTGTATGATGGGCACAGATTCACAGACAAAGATTTTTTTTTAGCTTCACACCATGATTGTGTTCAGTCCGAGGATATAAGACATGTTTGATATGTTTGGATGCTTTTAGAACACGTCATTTTCATTTGTCATGCGACTCCTAGCAATGAGGTGCATGTTAATGCGTGAGTTTGTTGTGTTCAGGACAACATGAAAGTCTGGCAGTGAGTAATCCTTAATCATTCAATGTGGATCAGATTTGAAAAGTCATGTAGTGTATTCAAGCCTTTTTCATACTGCACATTATAATGCTGTGATGCCTAAATTTACTTGTAACATTTAAAACCAATGATTTTAGTTTGTAGTGTTTTAGACAACATAGCTTAGAATATTAAAGGGTTAGTTCACCCAAAAATGAAAATTCTGTCATTAATTACTCGCCCTCATGTTGTTTCAAACCTGTAAAATCTTCGTTCATTTTCGGAACGCAAATAAAGACATTTTTGATGAAATCCGAGAGCTCTCCGACCCTCCATAGACAGTAAGGCTACTTCCACGGTCAAGGCACAGAAATGTAGTAAGGACTAGGGATGTGCGCCGCGACTAATTTGACTGTCGTTTAAACGAAAGTTTTGTATCCGACTAGTCGACTAGTCTAAAAGCAAGAAACCCCCAAAAGATCGATAATGTCAAATCGCACATCGTTAAAACAACAATTACGATATTATCGCAGACGATATATATCGCACACCCCTAATGAGTATACACTCAACGTCGGCCAAAGCATAGCTTATTTATTCAAATCAGCTGGGGAAATGCAGAACAATGGAAAATCAATCAATGGCCTGACAGAATTCTTCATCATCTTATATAACGTTAGCCAACATATAAAACAAGTCAAAAACAATAGGAAGGTTTATCAAGAGATAGCAATAAAACGGCTTTAAAAACGTACTTTGTGTAGGCTATATTGTCTAAAAACAAAATGCAACAATGCCCACTTTACTTACTCAGACCATGCGTTATTTGTTCAGTGAAATTATCAACGTGGTCTGGTGAAAGACGGGACCTGAGGCGATTAACAATAAAATTCCTGCACTTGAAAAAACGCGCTCGGCAGGAACTGAAGTCGCAGGCACGCAGAGATAACGAAAAGCAAGCCGATAGAGTTTCAGAAAGCGCCTGGACTCCCGCACCACCACCGAAGTGGGTCTTCGTTAGAGGAATAGACGGCGCGGACGGGATCGCAGTGGCGGCGGGCTGTAGTGAATGACGTGATTGACATTTGCTGGCTTTGGCCAGCCTCTAAGCCAGTGGTTCTCAACCTTTTTTTCCACTGGGCCGCACTATGGTACAAGTGCAAGTCTCACGGGCCGCAAGCATATCGTTTACATATTACGTCACCAATACAAACCAACCAGAATTATAATAGCCTATTATAGCCTAAATATTATGATATCTAATCGATTACATTCATTTAAATAAATAATTGTACTCCCCATTAATAAAACACCTGATGCTGTTGGGAGCTGACCGATTTTGTGAAATTCGGCTCGAAAGGAGTAACAGCACAATGAAGTTTACAGACTGTAAAACGCGCACGGAAGCGTGACTTGACGCGCGACATTGCAGAAAATGTGCGTTCACAAATGTAGCCTATGTTGATCCAAATATGGAAAGCACTTTCGAATTTAATAATCTGAGGTTCTCTCCAGAGAT